CCTGCTGACAAGGGGAGTGAGATGCATTCCCTCTGTGACTGCCTGTAGCAGGGTCACTTCTGCCTTCTAGTCCTTAAACAGCAGAAGAGCCTACTGCTTGCCTTGCTGGGGTAAACAGCTTGGTTTTGAGCCTGCCAGCTGACTGTTGGACGTAAGCGCCACACGAGTCATGTGGCAGCTGCTCTGCACCCCGATACTACCTCAACAAGAGGCGTATCTAGCCATAAATCAATGGCATCATAGACTTTCATATCAAATGCGGATGTTTTCCTTCTAACCTCTGCCCAAGTCCTGCCTTTTCTGAGCCTTGCCAGGAACCAAACAACCCCTCTAAGGGATTTGAACACCTAGTCAACTGTTATGAATCTAAGCACCTCCATCTAGAGCAAAACCAAGTGTCTGGCTTCCCTTCAGCATGTGGGACAGATCTGTCTTGGCCTGATGGTCTGAGTACAAACCTCAGCACATCTTGCCGATCTGCAGCCATCCTTCCAGTCGGAGGAGTGACTGGAAGAGTGGATTACAAAGCCACCTAACAAAGAAGCTGATTTAGTGCAATGAGTAGGCATCACAGCAAAGGATAAACTTCACTGAAGTCTTGTGGCCACCCTTGGTGTGAGGAGAGAGAAAATCTTTGTTTTTTTGTGGGTTTGTGGTTTTTTTGGTGGTTTTTTGGAGGGAAGTGGTGGTGGTGGTGGGATGTTCTGCTTAATTGAAATAGAGTGTCCCCAGAGCGTGCTCACACAGGTGGTTAACAAAGCATTCAAATTGGAACTATACCATTTTCCTGGAGTTGACGCTGCTTGTGGGTTGTGGTGGGGCGCTTTTGGGTGGGTTTTCTTGTTTTGTCTCCACGCAGGGAGAATGTCTTTTTGTCAAAATTTCTTTCTTGCACTAAACTGGAAGATTAACGCAAACTGGTTAATGTGGAACCTGTGATTATTCTATGGTTGGACTGAAAGCAATTTCTGGCCTTTTCCAATAACATCTGCTGTTGCTGAAAATGCCAGCGCACATGATGACAGGCACAGGGACAGCACTGACTCTGGAGGCAGTTCTGGGGGCTGGTACTCTTGGAGCAGATTTTGAGATGTAGCTGATGGTTTGGAGTTGTCCAGGAGTTTGGACTTATTCCATGCTCTTTTTCCCTCCCCAGCTCTCATTGCAGGAGGGGCGGTGGGCCTCCTGTTCGCTGTCTTCCTGATCCTCCTCTTAGTCTATCGCATGAAGAAAAAGGACGAAGGCAGTTACGACCTTGGGAAGAAACCGATCTACAAGAAAGCCCCTACAAATGAGTTCTATGCTTAAAGCTGAGCAGCACCTTGAGCCCATCAAGGGACAAACAGACTGTATGGCAACACCGTGCCCTCAGACGAGATGTGCTGAACAAATGCTCTTTTTGGATTGAATTTCAAAGCGACTTTGAGAAAAAACAAACTTCCTACGTGACCCTTCCCATCCCGCTCAGCTAACAAGGGCCCAATGAAATACAAAGAGTCTGAAAAAAAAACCCTCAGTGTATTTTTTTTTTTTTTCTAAAGCTAGTGTAAAAAGAATAAAGATGCCAAATTTTCTGCTTGGTTTTATAGAGGGTATATAAACACAAAGCAGACTGTATGGAAGCAAACACCATGTGTTTGCATCCAGTGTGCCGTGCTCAGATTGGCTGCTTCTATAGAAGATGGCTTTTTTGTAAACCTTGCTAATAGATGTCTTGCAGCAGGCTGTTGATGTGAAGCATTTTTGTGCAGAACTATTTATGAATCTCTTACACTACAGATAATGTTGCCTTATCAGGGAGTAAAAGGCCCATAGGGGCTCAAAATCCCTGAATGCCACAAGGAGCCTATGGGAATGTCTTCCCCGGGAGACTTCTGTCTCTTCCTGTCGGCCCCAGGCAAGGGTCATGAGTCCACGAAATCAGGCCAGCCAGTTTTCGTTGGCTATGATGACACCCTTTCCTTGCCTTCAGTCTCTTACCTTTTTTTAAGGATTGCCTGTAGGATTTTTTTATAACAAAATTTTAAAGAAAATAACCTAACGTTTATATAAAGTTTGTAGAAATTGTTTTGAAATAATAATAATAAAAAAATCTACTTTTTTAATTTCCTCAGATTTATTTTTTCAATCCCTTTGTGTTTCCTTTGGCCGGGCATTTCTCTAGAGATGTTGTTTTATACGATTCCTATTCTGAATTGAAGCAGAGTTAGCTACAGCGTGTTACAGGTTTCTTCTAGTTCTATAGTAGCTGCTGTAGAGGGTAAAAGATATTTATGGTTTTCCAATAACTTTTTTAGGATTTGATTTTTTTTTTTAAATAGAATTATTTATAGTTTCTGAAATGGCTGCTCTTCTCATTTGGTAACTTTTATCCTTCTTATGTAAAACACTAATATAATGAGTCTCTGTGAAAACTATTTAAGCTTTATTCTGTGAATTTTAATTATAAGTTCAAGGCAATAACTGCTAGGATTAATCTGTATGCAAAATTGGATTCATAATGTGATTGAAGTAGGGAAAAGACGAGAGTATTTCTAGCCTGTAATATATTATAATCAGTCCTATAGAGCTATATATTATATGTTTTACTGAGAAATAGACAGTTAAGAGTGAAAAGGCTGGGGTTAATTCTTCAGCAGCCTTACTGTGTGTAAGAGGCTCGGTCTCGTTTGTACTGCCGTTTGTCCGGTGTCTTGTCTGGAGCGCAGGTGGGCTCGTGCTAGGGAAGGCAGCTGCGAGCAGCCGGAGCCCTGGGGCTCCAGCGCCGTGTCCCGGCCGTGCCTGGAAGCTGGCTGCAGTCGGTGATGTGCCGGGTGAGTCGGAGCAGAGATCCCCACCTCTGTTCTGGGGTTGCTTTTTGGAGCAAGCGTTGGAAGCTTGCGGTACGGAGAAAACAGCTCTTTGTTTTGGGGGCAGAGTCCCCTGTGGTGCCGTGCCAAGTACCTGCCTCTTGCAGAAGGCTGGCTGCGGTAGCCAGGGCTCTGCCTCGGCGGCAGCTCCCAGCTGGGAGCACTGAGCTTTCGTAGACGGCTGGCTCTCAGCCTCCTGCGCTGGGTTTTTCTTGATATATCATGTACATAGCTCCTACCTCTGCTGAGAGTTAGACCAATTCCCCCAGTGCCCCTCGAGCGAAAGGTAACGCGCGTGTCCGATGCCTCTTTCAGGAAGGCGTTAGAGAACTCCTTTGCGCAAGTCGTGTCCTACTGCAGCGCTCTGAATCCGGTGTGGTTTAAGGCAAAATCCGAGTGTGGGTCCCTGAACTGTGTAACTGGGTAGGCAGCACAAAACCAGATGGTTGCGAAGGCTGTTTAGAAGTCGTCGACTCCTGACGCCTCCTTACTGAGGCTTTGTTGTAGGCTTGAGGCCAAATTTGTAGAGGCGATAGAACAAAGAAATTCAGCTTCAGCCGGTGGCAGCTGCTTCTCAGCACTGGGCAGGCGAAGCAGAGATGGTAGGGGAGCCGTGTATTGGGACATCGCTGCGAGAGGACTTTTCCCAAGGCTTCTCCTCCAGGTTGACTCACTCGCTTGGTCCCAGTAGCGTGCTCAGGGAGGCTCTAAAAACTGCACAGAGTTCACTGTAGACTGGGAAGGAGAGGGACGATTTTACTGCCTATGGACAGCACTACCAGGAAGGCAGGAGTGGTGTCTGCTTCTCGGGAATTTTAGATTCGCTTGTGTAACTGCTCTTGGGGATTTTCCACTGTTACTGATTTTTTTTTTTTTTTTCCCCTCAAATAAACTGGTACTTTCTAAAATTGGCTTTTTGGACTGTTTCTGATCTGAAATTACTTTTGGGAGCTGGATAACGGGGAGCTCATGTTTGTGTAACTTCAGTTTGCCGAAGGGGAGGCCCGCTGGGATCTGGCTTGGTGGTGACCTGCAGCTCCAAGGGGCTTTGTCAGCTGCTCCCAAGCTGTCTTCACCCACCAGTAACTCCTGTAGGACCAGCGTCACTGGGTTTCTGGAGCTACTCAAGCTCTTCCAGGCAAGTAAAGCAGATAAAGCATGGCACAAGGAGGTGAGTCCATCCTTTCTCTGGTGATCAGTTTTGTGATGGTGCTTTGAGAGGGCTGTCCCCTTGCGGCCGGGAGGGACAGAGGGAGGTAGAGATGGACTTGTGCATGTGTCTGACAGCAGCATGTTCCTGTACCCTCAAACATAGGGGAGCAACGTGCAGAGAGTCTTGCTCGCCCAAGTTTCGAGCCAACCCTGTTTAACTGATGTAGGCCTCCAAGTGAGGGCAGAGCTGTTTGAGCTTCCCTGGGATCAGCTGCTCTGGGAGCAAGCCCACAGGCGACTTCATGCCATTTTGGTCTAAAACAGCTCTTTTCTTAAGCAAGACCTGGAGGAAGCTGCTGCTTCTCCAAACCCCTCTGCTCTGATGGCTTGGTGCTCTCCAGGGATGGGAGCCATCTCTGTCTCCCCGGGGATGTGGGAGAGGGTGGGCTGTGCGGAGAGCAGGGCTGCTCGCTGGGAAAAGTGCCGGGTCTCCTCAGAAGTGCTGTATTTAAATGGATTATCGTCCTCGAGAAGATCTTAATTCCCTTCTCCCTGGTGGGAACTCCTGCTCCGGGTGGTTAGGATTAGCAGGGATGGAGGAAACAAATTAGGACTAGTACACAGGCTCCCTCGGGGCTGAGGGAGTAGCAAGCGCTTGCTCTGCTCCTTGTTGCCCGGTCCATCACCGGCGTGCTCTCGAAGGTCCTCAGAGAATCTGCTGCTGGTACCAAGGACAAGCCGTGCGCCCGCAGGGCTGATCTTTGCTCCGGGGGAGCTGCTGTTTGTCAATACACCGGTGACAGACGCCTGCGGTCCTCGTGTTCTTGTGCCTCATGTGGCTGTAACAGGTTCTTGGATGTGCTGCTTGGAACAACGTATGTTTGTCTTTTTTTTCTTTTCTTTTTTTTTTTTTTCTTTTCTTTCTGTCCTGGGCTTCATCTCTCAGTTGCAAGAATCCAGTGTACTTTCCAAAACCGCCCTCAGCGTAAAAGCGCCTTGTTTTTGCAAAGCAGTCTGGACGGGTACTCTGCAAATCCCCGGAGCGCAAGCCTGGCTGCCTGCCTGTGCTTGCAGAGCCGCGGTTCCTGGGACGGATTTGTCACCATTCCCTCCGTCTGCCGTTCTGCCCTCCCCGGCCGGCCTGCCTGCATCTGGTGTTAGCTGAGGGTGCGCTAACACCTCGCGAATTCCTGGCCATCAGCTCTGACCCCTGAGATGACGCTCAGTTGTTTTTCCTCCTAGCGCTGCTCTGGTTTTCAAACCTGAGGACCTTCGTCTGGCTTGAAAATAGCTGGAACCCTCCTGGGCACTGATGTGATCGAGCGGCCGCGGGCAGCACTGCCCTTCCCAAACGCTCCCTGGTAGGAGAGGCTGGGGGGAACGAGCAGAGGAGCTGGACGGTGAGGGGTGACCTTGCCGATCCCCTTTACTTTATGGCTTCCAGGGGGGCACTGAGGTGGAGTTCACGGGTGTTTGGGTCCCTTGTTTTGCAGGGTGAGCCTCAGCCCTGGGGCGGGTGCTGTGTGCCAGAGAGGTGCCAAAATGGGTCATGGAGGTGGTGTGCAATAGCGTTGGTGATTGCAGTGCCTGTTCCTGCAGCCTCTAACCCTCCGGAGGACCACAGGGCGCCCACCGCTCCGGGCAGGACACCCAGGCTGCCCACAGAGATCGTGGAGTCCAAGAGGGGACAATTCCTGTCCCCCAGAGACACGGTGTTTCCCAAGCATCCCCCAGCCTGCTGGGTGCTGAGCAGGGTGCGCAGCTGGGCTCCCTGTGGCTGCAGGCAGGGGACAGGGAAAGCCCAGGGGATGGGGGTCCCAGTACAGCCCCCCTTGCCCACTGGGGGTTGACTGGGTGAGCTGGGGCTGTGCAGGAGGTAACCAGGCAGGTTGTCCTCGGTGAAAACCTTCATCCTTCGTTATCGCTGGGCGCAGCTGCCCCGTCGCTGCAGGGATGTTCCTACCGTTGGGGCCAAAACCTTTCAGCTCCTCCTGTCCTATCTCGCTCCGTGCCAGCTCCGGCGCAGACGGCGCTGCCCAAAGGTCTGGTGGCTTTGGGGTGCTGAGCCCATCACGCCTACCAAAGCGGCTCCTCGAGGGTGGTGTTTCGGGCGGGCTCTGAGGAACGGGGAAGCCGGGATGCTCGCTGCCCTGGGATGGAGCAGCATCGCCCACGCAGGCTGGCAAGAAACACCCCGTGGATGAGGAGGGTGGGCTTTTGGCCGCAGCGGTTGCGCTTGGGGTGCAGCAGCGCTGTTCTGCGTTTCGACTGCAAACTCTGGACTGCCGCTGCCTGCCTGCTTTCCCTGCCCCCCGCCTGCCCACCAGCCCCCTTTTCCTGCGAGCCCTGGCAGAACCCCGCGGCCGAGCCCCCCGGGGCCCTTCCCGCCCGCTCGCCCGTGCCTGCTGCCCTCTCCTGGGCAAACCCGCCCGGCCCGGCCCTCGCCTCCCGCGGGGGAGCGGGCGTTGGGGGCGGCCTCCCCGCTGGGGAGGGGCTGCAGGGCCGGGGCCCCCCCGCGGGCGCGACGCCTCCATCTTTCTTTTCTTTTCATCATCTTTCTTTTCTTTTCATCATCTTTCTTTTCTTTTCATCATCTTTCTTTTCTTTTCATCATCTTCTTCTTCTTTTCATCATCTTTCTTTTCTTTTCATCATCTTTCTTTTCTTTTCATCATCTTTCTTTTCTTTTCATCATCTTTCTTTTCTTTTCATCTTTTTTTCATCTTTTTTCCTTTTGTTTCTCTGTCCTTTCTTCTCGTCCTTTCTTCTCGTCCTTTCTTCTCGTCCTTTCTTCTCGTCCTTTCTTCTCTTCCTTTCTTCTTTTTTTCTTTCTTCTTTCTTCTCTCTAGTGCATTGCAAGAGCCTCAGTGCAGCTGAAGGCCCTGAGCCCTTGGCAGGAGTGGGGAGCAGGGACTGAAACAGCCTCGCACCTGGAGGTGCCACCAGCTCCTGACTGCTCAGACGGGCGCGAGCGCTTCCCGGGGCGCTCCCCAGCCCGGGTTTGTGC